TGATCTCGAGCCCGGGGCGGCTGCTCGGTCGCAGGGGCGCCTGGAGGATGGACTCAATGTACATGGCGGCGCCGCCCATCTGAGTCCACGCGAGACCCATGGCCACGCCGGCGGGGTTGACCTCGTAGAGGCGGTCCGAGGTGAAGACGGGAGGACCGACGTAGTCGACGAGGTTCTCCTTACCAATGGTGACATGGACCGTGTCGGGGACGTTGAGGGCGACACGGGGCTTCTCAGCGGTCGGCGTCTCGGCCGGCTGCTCGCCCGTCTCGCGCGCCTCCTCAGCCTTCTTCTCCGACGCCTCGAGCGCCTCCTTGCCGTCCTCAGTCAGAGCCTCCTTCTCGGGAAGCACCTCCTCGCCGAGGTCCTGGACGATCTTGAGGGCGGATTTCCGGTAGACCTTTTCAATCTGCTTCTTGAGGTTGCGGACGCCGGACTCGCGGGCGTACGACTTGATTAGCTCCTCAATGGCCTCCTCGCTGAGCGTGACGTCGGCGTTGGCCAGCCCTGCGGCTTCGCGGGCGGCCGGGGCGAGGTACTTGTCGGCGATGGCCTTCTTCTCATCGGCGACGTAACCCGACAACTGGATGAGCTCCATGCGGTCGAGGAGGGGTCGCGGGATGGTGTCCGTCATGTTGGCGGTGCAGACGAAGAGCACCTTGGACAGGTCGACGGGGACGTCCATGTAATGGTCCAGGAAGGAGCTGTTCTGCTCCGGGTCGAGGAGCTCAAGCAGAGCAGACGAGGGGTCTCCTTGGTAGCCGCGGCCAATCTTGTCGATTTCGTCAATGAGAATCAGGGGGTTCTCGGTCTGACACTTCTTGAGCGCCTGGATGATGCGACCAGGCAGGGCACCGACGTAAGTTCTGCGGTGACCCTTGATTTCAGCCACGTCTGTCAGACCACCAACGCTGAATCGGTAGTACTGGCGGTTCAGGGCGCGGGCAATGGACTTGCCGATAGACGTCTTTCCGACACCGGGAGGACCGACGAAGCAGATGATCTTGCCCTCGACCGTACCACGGAGCTTGCCGACGGCGATGAACTCCAAGATACGATCCTTGACATCCTTGAGCCCATAGTGATCCTCGTCCAGGACCGTCATGGCATTTTGAATGCCAAAGTTCTCCGCGCTGCGCTGGCCCCATGGGATCTGCGTCAGCCAGTCCAGGTAGTTACGCGTGACATTAAACTCGGATGCTGCGGGCTCGAGATGGGCAAGCTTATTGATCTCGTCGTCAAACACCTTGCGCACGGCTTCGGGCATGGCCAGATTGTTGGCCTTCTCCTTGAACTTCTCAACCAGCTTGTCCTTGCCGTCGGACTCGAGGCCCAGTTCGCGACGGATGCCCTTCATCTGCTCCATCAACCAGTACTCCCGCTGACGCTTAGTAATCTTACTCTCAACGTCCTTGGTGATCTTTGACTGAAGCTGCGCGTTCATGAGCTCCTTCTTCAAGACGATCAGCGCCTTTTGCATTCTCTCCTCCACGTTGAGACTTGACAGGACCTCTTGCAGCTCGCCCTGCTCGCCGGAAGACACGGCGGCGGCGAAATCTGCCAGCTTGGCCGGCTCGGACGTTACGTTGCCTGTGGACTGGCTCATTGAGAATGTCGAGATCTGATCACGGAAAAGGCTGTTCATCGTGGCGACTTCCTTGAACACGTTGACGATCTCGTTGGTCACGGCACGGATGACAGCGCTCTTGGGATCGTAGGGCTCCTCGGTCAAGTTCTCCACGTTGACGAGACTGACGGGGTATCTCTTGAGGAACGCGGTGGGCTCGTACTTCTCCGCGGCCTGGTCGGCCTTGGGGGCCACAGCACTCTCTTCGAAGCTGGCAACGACATCACCCTTCTTCTCTTGTTGAGCCTCCTCATCGGTGGGCTTCGAGGGTATCGGGTCAGGCACTGGCTCGACCTTGGCTTCGCTCGGCTTCTTGTCCTCCGTTCCCGGCGGCAGCAAGCTAGAAAGGCGGATACGGCGGTGAGGGTAGAGGATAGCCGTCAGGGCGCCCTGCTCCCCATGCATGGGGAACGCACTCGTGATCTGCGCAAAGACACCGGTATCGTAGACGTCATCGACATTGCGGATAACGTCCTCGTCTTGGTTCTCGTCCTTGAACAAGAAAGCACCGACGTACGGCTGGCCTCTCTTGATCATCTCGGTGATGGCCGCGGCGACGTTCGGGTCCTTAATGGTGATGGCTTTGTAGAAACCGGGGAACAGTGGCCGCTTCGCAATCGGGATAGCGAGGACTTGGGGGTAGACGTCGGGCACAACGGGCTTCTGCAGGCTCTTGTCAGAGGCTCTGCGTCCGCGTCTGCCGCTGCCGTCACCCTTGTCGTCGCCGCCGCTGCCGCCGGATCCCGCCGATGAACCACCGGCCGCGCTACCGGCCTTACCATCCTGTGCAGCTCCCGAGCCCTCGCCCTTGGCGGATGACTCGGAGTTAGAGCTCTTGGCCTCGGCCAACTCCTTCTCCTCGAGCTCGCGCTGGTGCTTCAGGTTCGCCTTTTGTTCCTCCTCGGACAGGGGCTCGACTGCACGGTCAAAGAAGCTGTTGTCTTCCTCCTTTAGCCATCGTGTTGACGTTGAAAACGGGGCGACGGCTCGCTGGGACGGGCGGGTAGTGAGGAGAAGACGGTCGAAGGTGGATGCGGAGCACCTCGGAGTACTCGCTGCGGGTAACCTGCTACTCGAGGCCGCGTAGGGGTTTCTGAGGTAGTTTGCCGAGCGTCCGAGGGCCAGGCGCCTGGGGAAGCTCGATCGCATCACCATGTTGGCGGCAGTTGGGGGAGGGTTTGCCAGTCGACTTGGAAGAAGCTCCGGTCGCGGCACGTGGTGATCGGGTAATACAGGGCCGAGGGCGAATTCGGATGTGCCGCTGTATTGGTTGAATTGGTGACAAAACAAAAGAGATGGTGGACGCAATTGAAAAGGTTGCAGATGTGTGTATTTGTGCAGAAGGGTGGTGAAAAGGACTCCGAGTCCTAAATCGCGATGCGCATCGCCTCCTGACGCCTTACAAATACAGAGTGTAGGTGAGTTGAGTAGGCTTTCTAGCTATTATGGAGACAGTCGGGGGGGAGACTAGAAAGTAAACGACATCACCAAAAAAATCAATGAGCACTGACGTTGCCGCCCGTGCCTGGCCACTCAGCGCGCGGCGGAGGCGGGAGTTGGCTCTGGAACCAGGAAGAACATCGGCCCCGTTTGCCGGCGGGGCAGCTTACCTAAGGAGGGTTCTCTAGGACGACGTCCCCCACAGATTGAAGTGTGGCTGGCGTACGGAGTACAGAGCACAGAGTACGTATAGCTGGACACGGCAGTACACAGAAGTGGTTGCTGCCGCAGCTATCCGTCACTCCGTACGAAGCACATTACTTTCGTATAATTACAACTTGCACATTCCGATATTCACTGACTTACCTTACATGAAAGCACACACATTGTGGCTAGTCAACTGCTTACAGGTATACCAACTTGAGATGTCCTCGTGTTGTCATGTACAACGATGAAGAGTACATCTCTCGGGTTGCCTGCCACAGTGCCTTCCAGACTCCCGTCCCTCTGACTCGCTGCGGGGAAGGGGTCAACCCAACCCCACAATGGGAAAGGGTTCCAAGCACAACCAGCCCATCCACGTCCCGCCATCCCGTCGTGCCCGTCTAACAGCAGTCCGTTCGCACACCTGAAAGGAGCCGAGGCCACTTCCAGTTACATCAACCTGTTTACCAGAACTTGTTTTCTGCTACGGATACTCTCTTTCTCCTTTCTTCCACCCTGTTTTCTTTCAGGAGCTTCACATTGCACAGAAACTCAGCCATATATTCATCAACCCTTACCTTCTCATAGTTGTCTCGGAGGATCTCTCTCAGGCCTCCTCCAGCATCACTCCAGCTGCAAGCTACACCCTCACCTTGTCGATCCTTCATCGGCGTCGTCCAAACACCACCGCCCCGTCGTCCACCGATCGACCTTCCCTGCTACCCGGAACTTTACCCACTCTTTACCTCGCTTCCCGACGGAACCGCACCCGGGTTCCTAGCCATCTCAACCTCCTGTCCATCTCAAGCAACGTTCTGCCATCTCTCTCACACACCTATATATATCTCTCTTCTCCGACTTGTCTAATATTTATCCATACACACACATCACCATCATGCCTTCCTCAAGTCAAAAGTCAGACGTCACGTCCTCGCTCTCCAAGCTCTCAATAGACAGCAGCAAAAAGACACCATCCTCCAAAAAGACAAAGGCACCAGTGGCAGACTCATGGGAAGATGAGGACGTAGACGAGGACGACGATGAGGAAGAAGAAGAGGCCGTAAAGCCCCAAAGCGACGGCGCCAAGGCTCCGCCGCCGACCCCCATCTCACCAACCTACAACGCCGCAGACAGGTCCTTCCCCAACCCCTACGGCAGCGTCGACTCCGTTGCTGGTGCCGGTGCCTCCTCGGGTGGTGGTGGAGGTGGTCAGGACGCCGCCTCATCACGCCCCAGGCCAGAAAAGACAGACGCCGTGGCCCGGCGCATGATTGCCAGCGCCCTGGGCGTGAAAGTGCCCCGGATGACAGAGGAGCAGAGGGCCTACGACAAGGCTGTCAAGGAGAAGGAGAGGAAACGCAGGGAGGAGGAGAAGGCTGCTGAGAAGCGCCGGCTGGAGGACGCCGAGAAGGCCAAAGTTGCCATCTGGGAGGACTAGATTTTGCTTCGCGACTCCGGTTGTCACCGGCTCTGGTAATTCTGTCGTCAGCCCAGCCCTCGTCTTGAGACGGATGGTGAATGACTAACGGTGGAAGATGGACTGTTTGTCCAAGCCACCACGGTTTTCGTTTGCACATATTCATATATATATATAAAAAAGGACAATATCATATGGGTTATTCCGCTTATCCTACGGGACAGAATACAATCATTGGGTTTCTGTGTGACAACAACATACGCATATGTAGCCAGCTTATATCGACTCTAGCCTGACTCGACTCCCATCCACTCACTTCTGAGCTTTAGCCTGCTCCTCCTCAGCAGCCCTCTGTTTTCCCATGGTCTCCAGTACATTCTTAACCACAGGCCGGGCGCGGATTCTCTCACCCCAGGCGGCGTAGTCGGGATACTTGGAGTCGACCTCCCACTTTGCGTTCCACCCTTCGCCAATGAGTTTTCTAGCGAGGTTGTCCCATGGCATGAAGGCGATGTCAGCATAGGTCCTACATAGCACACAGCCCCCATTGTCGTTAGTTACAATGAGTAGAATCATGCAAAGAGCTCTAGATGGGTGGTAATAGTGGATTTTCTCTTTTTCTGGAGAAAAGTGGATATCTGGGTCCAAGTTGCTATTCATAGCAAAGCAGAGAAGATCCAGATGGGAAAAGGGGGGGGGGGGTTGATGATGGGGTCAGAAAGAATGGGGAGTGTGAAAGGGGAAGCATGCATGGGATGGGTGGGTGAGGATCTCCTTTCTGTCGAATAACGTACGCTTTGTCTCCGACGAGATACTTCTTCCCCTTGAGAGCGCGATCGAGGACGGAGAGGACGCGGACGGTCTGCTCTTCGTACCGCTCCTTTGCGCTAGGGACGTCTTCGGGGTGGAAGAGCTTGAACCAGCCGAGCTGGCCAAAGTACGGGCCCTAGATGGGTGGAAACCACAGTGAGCTGTTCGTTGCCTTATTGAGACCAAATCCATTCATACTATGCCTAAGAAATAAAATAAACGGTAAAGTCCAGAAAAGGGTGGGGGGGATGTTGTAATGGTAAAACGACGGGAGCATATAAGTTGACACATGTGAGCTAGGAAGAATTCAAGGACGCACACACCTGGCCAGACACCTGGAAATGCAACCACTGCTTCAAAAGGAACCTATCCTCTCTCGACGCGAGGGACAGCGCGCCGGTGTCGTCATAAGTCTCGACTAGGTACTCGACAATGGCGCCCGACTCCCAGAGCGTGATGCCCGTGTTAGGGTCCTTGATGGCCGGGAGGCGGCCGTTTGGGTTGATGGAGAGGTAGGGTTCCTCCTTTACGACGGCGAGGTCGATGATGATCTAAAGTGGAGGTGGTTCAGGTAAGTAAATGAGTGTAGATGTGTGTAGTGGTCTTGCAGTGACGTTGGCTTCGCATCGTGGGGAGAGGGGGGGGGGGGTGCTATTTGTTTTATCACTGGGGGTGGGTTATGGTTGATGAGGTTGATGTGTGTATAGGGTCAGGAGGGTGGAATGAAGAGAGAGAGAGAGAGGAGACGTTACATGTTCGTATGGAATCTTTAGCTCCTCGAGAATCATGACCACCTTTGATGGGTTGGGGGTGTAACCTGTGATGGAGGTATTAGCATCTGTCCTAGGCTCATGGGGTGAAATGAGGATCTCAGGCTAAAACAAAACATACTGTGCCCGTAGAGAACGATGGGCTTTGAGGCAATCATGATGGCTTGTGATTTTCAAAACGTCGTGTCTATACTGGTTCTTTAGAGTGGTTGGTTTTAATGTGTGTTTGTGATTAACGTTACTGTTTGATGATCTCGAGAACGGTATAGTAAAGGATAGGATGGCGGATGTCTAGATATTTATCTTTCTATCGCAACAGGAGTCCGACAGAATGTTCAAAATCCTTCAGACACTCTTCCTACCCACAGAACCCCTCGTTTCAATGCTAATTGGGCGCGCCTCCAGGCGTTAGACTCATGATGCAATCATCAGTCTCCTCCAAAAGGACCTCATCTATTGAAGTTGCTCTGAGCCCCCGATGTGACCAAGCTCTTAAGCCCAGAAAGCGTAAATAAAAAAAACTCGAAAGTTCTTCTCACAAACATAATTCCACCACATGTGATCATCACCAATCCTAAAACTCATTTCTGCTGATCCTCCCGTTGCAGGAGACCTTCCCGCGCGATAGATGACGACAACCCCGTGATCTCGCCATCTACTGAGCATAGTCAGCTTTGTCATGCTTGGAAATACCCGTCAAGAACACCTCACAAATCCTCCCTCGCACACAAAGAGGAAATTTGGTACATCGTGTGATGCGCCACGTCGCGGCTCACGTATCCTTGTACACCCGGAAATATAGGGCTTCTGTTCGGCTGCGCCCCGGACGAATGGTCCGGATATCACGCCGATCAGCTTGTTGCTGACGAACCCGCCCCGGACTACGGACAATTTTCGTATAAACCGCCCGACTAACCAATCTCTCCGACGAACTTCCACATCTCAACCCGTCTCAACTCTGCTGCCTAGTTTCTAGCTATTCTGTGAAATACCTATCCAGATGATCCTCTCCCCAGGATACTCAGACACCCTGCCAAACCAAAGTCCAACTTACACTCGGAGCGAAGTCTCAAGACATAAAGACACACACAAGTCCCGAAGAAAGACGAGAAAACAAGGCCACCTCGAATTTGCGGCTTCCACGCTCCTTTTCGAGAAAACAGCCCAAAACTTTGTTTCGAACTCGAAAGATGACACATCCCAGAATCAATGCCCCCTCAAGCACGTGGCAAGAAGAAAGAAGCTTGATCGAATAGTCGGCCATGTTACCATACCCCTTCCAATTCACGAACCCGAAAAGGAGATAACCTTTTTCCTGCCGCTTTATCAAACCCTCCACAACCCGATGTTTTTATGAAAAAAAAAGGACGACGTTGCGAGACTCTGGGGCGAATCATGCGCCTTGGAGCCTCTGTTCGTCCCAGATTTGAAAAGGTCTCATCACCTGAATAGAACAGAAAGTTTCTCGACTCTTCAACGGCAGAATGCGAGCAGAAATCAACCACACAGAGTCAGAACTTCGTAATGTGGGCAAAAACATTACTCAGGGACAAAGGGGGCTCCTCATGAGATGACGTGAAACATTCAGGACACCCACGAAAAAGCCCAGCACACCCTTTTTTTCGACTTTTCAACGTGTGGGACACGTTGCCGATGAAGTCGGGAAGGCTATTCGCCTGAACTTGCTGGCTTGGCTGAAGATATTGCAGAAAGACCAGACCCGTTGTCCGTCGGAGTCCGGATGTGATATATTGGCCAAAACCAGGAAGCTCTTGAAGGGTCGACCCTAAGACGGCCGAGGACACTTTCCGATCACCGCCCATACACTTTTTCTAAGATACTCGCAAACATTTCGATGCAGCTTCCAGAAGCCGAAAATGCCACTGTTTGAACACACGGATAACATGCTGGTCCTAGATGTCATGAAACAGGTCTTTCTAGCGATGTCGCCCAGGTGTATATGGCGATCTTAGGTACGGCATTATTCATCTTCGGCCGTTTCCATTGCCCGTGGAGCCAGGAAGAATACGTCGACCACATTGCCGCGTTTGGGGTTCACCCTTTAAATGCTATTGAGAGGTTTGTATGATTTGCAGGCTAAAGAGTGGGCCGTTGTCGCAAAGCCGGACTTTGAAAAACTTCATCGGAGAATGTCCTGCATCCCGGCCTGGAGCGCCTGGCTAAGAAAAACACACCGGCCGGCTGAGCGCCGAGCAGAGGCATGGAAGCTCGAGTTACGCCGGCGAGGGGCAGGGCGTCCACCAAAGTCGACGTGCATCGGGTCTTGTCTTCTTTGGGAAGCTGATAAAGAAGTCTGGCAGGGGATTCCGACGAGAGTATCCGTATCGCTGAAGAAAAATGTTCAGGCGTAAGGCTTGCTCGGATGAAGATCTTATCAGACAGGCCTTAGTCGTGCTGTCTCGATGGCATGGCGCTCGTCTCCCAATGCGACTTCAAATACGATTACGGCGCTTGAGAATTAGTGCCCCGGCCAGCCGAGATCACCGGCGTACGTGGAATAGCTGGGAGTAGCTCTGGCCACGCTCTTATGATCCGACGAGCTCAAGATTACGAAAGCAAGGTCTATTGAACATTGATCACACAGGTGCTCAATGGCGAGCCGGACCGTTTGGTTGTTTGATGATTGACCCATGTCTGTGTGTCTGGCCCTTCAAACTGGTCAGAGAAGATGAGACTTGATGCCTCCTTCTCCCACGTGTGCTCCCTGCTGATATCTGTTCCAAAGGGCCTGTGAACCGCCAGGCCATTGACGCTAGCCGATTGGGCGAGGCGCTCAGAGGATACTCATATTGGGCCCAATCAGGGTCGATTTTCTGACGAAAGCGTGAAGGAGACCAGGGTTTCCCGTCATCAAGGCAAGCGGCCGATGCCCCTGCAACGCTTGAGAGGTATTCGGTCGGGCTTGACACGAAAACAGCCTATAGAACTCATACGGCAGAGTTGCCGTGAAATGTGAAATGCCGTCACGACACAGGTGCGGAGTCGACCATTAAGCTCAGGTCGGTATTAAATTCCTTTGTCAAGGGCTAGACTGACGTTGAGAGGAAGAGTATCAGACATTGGCGTGATTCGGAGGGTCCCAAGTTAGAACTTCTCGTACAACCTCGTACAACCAGTAGCTCGTAGCCTCATCATGTGGAATTGGAGCACAAATGGTGACCTGCGGCTCGATGACCTCCAACTTCCAACGCAAGAGTGCAGCCTCATATTGAGGCGAGAAAGGCCAAGAGCCAGGATGGGGCTGCAGCCATGCTGGAATTCGAGGAGCGATGAAAGTGCCCAAAGCGTGTATAAGGTTTCCGTGGTCCGAATTCTGTGCATCCGACTTGGATATGGTCAATTGCCGTGCTGTTCGTATGCTCCACCCCTAGTGCTTCACGAGGAGAGTCTGGGCTCCGTGTAACAGCAGAAAATTAGGGACGGACAACCGTCTCTTTGAAAAGTCGTTTGGGAGGTTTGAGGGGTTGAGGTCTATGGCTTGTCGAGCAATTGAGTTGCCGAGTCCTGGCATGGTGGAACACTGCGACGTTGGAACGTGGCCAGTAGACCGCAGCTCGACTAGACGGGAAACCGGTCAAACAATGATGGAAGGTTTGTGTCCTGTTGCATCTGCGCTCGCAAGCGCATCGTGACCGTAGCATCGCCGACGTTCTGGCCGCGTGCAGCTTCCATGTTCCGCCTCGCCTGTGTACATTTGTGACTCGTGAGCGAGATGGGTTGCATTCCTCGGTGTGATGCGGGGCGGCGACCGAAGCAATAGGTATGTAGTTGAGGATCAACCCGTACATGGCAAGCCAGCCGATGCTGGATGGGTAGATCTGCACAGTCAACTAGCAAGAAGAAGCCCGGACTCACGCCACAGACGCCTAGTCGACGGGTAGAGGTTATCCGTCTTTTCTGCTCAAACTGTAGCTTCGGGATCCGATGACTGAATGCCACTTAGCTCGTCATTGATGGCGGTCATTTGTTCTTGGCCGCCTCAGGTTGAGGCTTGATGAATCGTTGCAGCCAGAAAGAAGAAGATCGATTGTTGCTGAGCCGTGAAGCCTCATGCCAGGGTTCACCAAGTCGCTACGCAAAGTCGTTGGTGAAGAAGTCGGCATTTGCATCGCATGTTGCGAATTAATCTGTTCCCTGTTTGTTTTTGTCGTGAAGCAGTAACTTCACCCAATATTAACTGTCCAATGGTGCAGCGAAGGGATGGTCTGTCGACAAACCAACGTCTTGAAATGTTGGCGGGCACGCGGGTCGGGATCAGACTGGGGGCTGTGGAGGGTCATTACTCGGGAGTGATGACTGAAACACTTGTTCCATTGCCTAGCCCCCTCTTCCATTCAGTCTGCAAAAGACGGCGCTCGCTCATTGACAGCGTCTGGGGCTGCCGGATGCGGAGACGCGTTGCCGGGCGCGGTGAATCTTGTGTGACTTTCCTGGATGGGCCGAATTTCTTGGGGCCTAAGAACATATAATGATGGTCCAGACAATATCAAGATCCAGATCCGTCCGTACCTTGAAGCTTATAGCATCTTCCGCATCTGTTGGGGAATGGTGGAGAGGGTACGAGAGAAAGTCATCCAGAGAGAAAGAATAATGAATTGTGTGGGGCAGAATGAAGCCTTGAGTACACGAGCACGGGGTAATCAACACAAATGAGAGAATTCCGAGACTGGGAGAGGGAGAATGCAGCGGAATTCAAGACGTATGATCTACAATGGTGCCTACCTTGGTTGATGAACACAAAGTAAGGTAAAGCAAGTGCGGGTTCCGATAATCTGGATTGTGGCAGGAGACGACATCCGGGTGCAGATACCGATCGGGTCGGGCGGGAATGGGAAAGTGAGAGGAGAGGGCAACACCTTCTCCTTCAGTCCATACTCCGTTGTAGTAGAAGATTCGGGAACGGCCTGAAGGCATGTTCCATTGCAAGTGCGAACCAAGGGGCGGTAAGGGTAAAATCAATCTGATTTGAGATTGAAATTTTTCTGTGGTGTTGCAGAACGAGGATGCCCTTCTCAGAGGCGGAACCTTGTTGAATGGACTCGCGTTGTCGGATGGACTCTTGGTGCATGCTCAATTTGCAGAGTGCCTGGTACCTACGGATAAGTACGCGATGCCTTACCGCGAAGTGCAAGGCCAA